CAACACCTATATTGAAGAAAAACAAAATAAAATCATATTCTATTATATTCGATATGATTAAAAGAATAAAACATAAATCTATTTTATTTTTACCTAAAAAAACTAAAGTTATAATAACGATAAAAGAAAGTATTGATAAAAAGTAAACATAATCAACGTACACGAAATAACAGTAATAACAAGATTGAAAGATAAAAGATAATCTATAGTTTTATTATATATATAAAATTATCAATCATGTTGGAGTAGGATAGATATTTTAGATTTAGACCGCAGCAATTGTGATTTGGTATACGTGAGCTCTTTTCATTGGTTAAGGGGAATTTTTATGAACTTTTTGTCCAATAAAGGTTTTTAATTGGTTAATGAGTCAAATCATTTTTAGTTTATAAAAAAATTATGTCTTAGCTCCAACCATAACATAATTATTTAGTGGTCAATGTTTCCCATTTTTAATTGTTCCATTTTTTTTTTATATAATCCATGTGGTTATATAAGTAACTATGTGCTATAGTTTTTTAAACAATAAAATTGAAGTGATCTTGTTTATGAATCTTTAAAGAAACTCTAGAGCAGATTTGCTTTATAGTATATATATAATATATATATATATATTAATAGCGATAATATAGTCATAATGTAATTTCACAAAGAAGTCTAAAAAGAACAGGATGTAATATGTAAAGTTATAGATTTTACCTTTATTTTCGTGTTGTAGAATATATATATATATATAGTAGTGAAGCTACTCTTAGCTAATTTGTCGGGAAATTATATTACACCTTTTGCTAGGTCAAAATTTTGGACTTTTATATGTACCATGTTGATTCTCCTTATTTTTGTTGTGTATCTACTTTCTTTTATATTCGTACCTCTCAAAAACAAAATTGACTTACTGACAGATAAAGAGATTGTTTTCGATAAGTTTACTTCTTATTATGAGTAAATAAATATAATAAAAATTTTAGAAAAAAAGTGTTAGACAGTAGAAATAATAGTGATAACCAAATTATTTTTGTTTTAATAAAAAATATAAATAAATAAACAAAAAGGACCACTCATGAGATGATTATTGTTGAAGATGAAAGGTGAGGTATACAATTAAAGAAGTCTTATTAATTTTTTTTAATTCGATTTTGGGCCATAGGCTACTTTTATTAATTAATTAAAAATAAGTTAACTAATTAGGTACTAATCCTTGACCATTATCATCCAAATAGGATTGAATTTGAATTAATTAGATTTATTTGTTCATGTCAGTCTTTGATTGAGTAAATTACGGCATAAAGATAAAATAATATAATAAATAATTATTTCTTTGGTCCTCGTAGATCATCAACACCACCAATAAATAATTTAAATTAAAAGTTTTTATGTATGTGTGCGGATTGTGAAGTATAAAAATGTGCATGCGTATTTGAAAAAGACGGTATATATTATATAAATAATCGTGCATGTTTTTTGGAAATTAAAAAAAGAAAGAAGAAACAAAGAGTAAGAAAATTAATAAGGTATTTTATATTCAAATTTTGATAATGAAAATGACTATAAAAATGTCATTTTAAAGACTTTATAATATGTAAATTTAATTTAATCAAATTACGGACGCTAAACACGAATAAGAAAAAGGGTACTTTGAAGATGGCAATTGAACTCTACCCAATTTTTAGCTTCATTACAATACTTTCTTAATTTTTCTTTTAGAACGATAAAAGCTATGTACGTTCACATTATGTTTCACATATGAGTCTCAAATTCAATTTAGCTAAAGAAAAGAATTGACACGTAATACTTTTTTTTAATTTAATAATAAACCACACATGATACAAAATTATACTAAGATTATTTAAAATTGAATAAATTATATTTATACCAGTTGATTTATAAAGTTTTAGACTTAGATTCAGTTTCATACTTTTATTACTGGTTATCACTCTCAGTTATTCTATAATGTATCAGCATTTGCTTTTAAGAAAAATGTAATCTGTCAACTCATGTGCATAGTTCATTTGCTTTATCTTTTTATGTCAATTCTTAACTA